CCTCTGGCACCATCTTTGTTATCAGTTTGACGATTTATGCATTCATGTCATTTGAATGGTAGTAGTATATACTATTTAATGTTGGACTATAATTATAAATATAATATATTTGGTTGGATAATGAGATTAATTTCTGTTAAATTGAAAATAATGATAAATATTATATTAATTATTATGACGTTGAGATTAAAATCAATAATGAGATATTTGATTGCAAATACAAAAATGATATTGATGTGAATTTTAATGAGAAAAGAAAATGATCATTAAAAATATTATATTAAAATTTATATGTTTAATTATTTTATTATTTACCCAATTATTTATTTTAATTAATTATTTAATTATATAGATATTTATTTATTAGTTTATTATAATAAACTTTATTTATTAATTAAAAATTTTTGATTAAAAAAAGTAAAATGAAAAAAAAGAAAAGTAAAAACTAAGTATCAGGAACATTTTTATCCTAGCACTATATTTCCAAGGGTAAAAAAAAAAGAAAATGGATAAAATTAATTGAAAGATTTTCATTCAAAAGGAAAACAAATTCCAACTGGACCTAAAAGGTGCAGTCAAAAAATAAAGGTTAGCACGGTTGAATTAGTCAAAACCTGCCTTTCCGATGCATCATTTGGACAACAAGAGGCAACTTTTAGATGCCAATTTCACTTCACCGGCGGTACGGTTGCATCCAAATGCACACCCTTTCGGCATCGTAGGATTACATTTGCTTTAGATGGGTTTGAACTTTGAAGTCACCCAAACCCAAAACCAATTTTAAGTGGCACTAATAGGGTCGATAACTTAATTCATTTTTTACGGATTTTGATTTAATCCAATCTCATAAGGTTTTTTTTTTTCTTTTAAATTTGATTTCGGATCAATCGGGTTAGATAAAGCTAAAAAAAAATTAAAGTCAAGTTAGGCTCAGATTTTAAACAAATTCGACTTGATCTAATATTATATAAAAATTATTTTTTAATTATTTATGTATATATATTTATATAATTATATATTTAAATATTTATATTTAAAAAAATAATATTTTATTAATTTCAAGTTGGATCGAATCAGATACGATTTATATAATATCAAATTGAATTTAAATTTAATAAATATAAAATCAGATCGAATTCGATACGAACAAAAACTCGCTCGACCCTTACCCAACCCTAGGCGCACCAACCTTGATGCACGTGTAAATAACTCTGTTTCTGTGACTCAAAATGGACCTTAATTTTGCAGTTTCCTAGGCATTTTCATATGAATACTACTGTTACATGTACCTATTGCCCTCATATAGATACAGTTGCATCATATATAACAACACAAATTAAAGAATACTGTCATTATATCAAAGCACAGTTGTATTGGATCGACTAGCAAGACTAATCCTCGAACTGAAGAAAAAATTGCCTTTTTGTACAGTGTATAATGCTCATACCTCCAGTAGTTCCATCAAAGAAAGAGACCAAACCATAACCATGCAGCTTTCTGTATAACCGTAGAACTTCCAGTTCTCTGTTTAGGGTTTTCCTGCAAAAGATATAAATAAGAATGTTATCTTTTAGACAAATACATAGCAAATACAAATCTTTACACCACTATCAAACAATTGATGCTAAACAAATTGAAAAGAATTTTAGCACCCAACTTGCATTACCCCAAAAGGAGTTCTTTAAACACAAATTTGATTCACAGAGAATAATCTCAGTTAAAGTTATTGGTTTCTACCAATGGCTCTTTAATAGATGTTTAATCTATTCAAAAGCTGATATAACTGTAGCAAAGTTTCAAGTCGCTTTTACATGTCAAAGCTCAAAAATTTATTAAGTCTAGGAAAGCAGCACGGACACGAAGAAATAATAATGCATAACTGTGATAAAAACATAGGTTTAACAAAATAATTATAGCACTACACAAGGACAAAAGCAATAAAAATTTCTATACGATCAGATTGGTTAAACACTACATTCCTAAAACATCCTTGTTAAAGGCTTCCTAGCAAGCTACGCATGTATTATTTCATATTTAATAGGTTACATTGATCAAATTTCTTAACCAAAGCTGTCACAAGAAGCGAGGTGTAAGAATCAAAACCCGGAAACGAGAAGATTCTCATCACCCTACTTCCTTGTGAAGGAACCCACACTAAAATATTTTCAGCATCTGGGTTTCTGAACCATCAAGTGTGTGTTTGGCCAAAAAAGAAAAAAAACCAATCGAGTGGGTGCCTACAACAACTCAAGACATACCACCAGCCAGGTCTAACCTAATCAAATATGCAGTTTTGCTCTTTCATTTTGTTTCCTGTAGTCCTAGGAATTTATAACAAATACATTCAAAAAATATGCCAACGTCCTTCAATCCCAAATTTTTAACACAAGTCATTATGAGACTTTCAACTGTGAAGGTCACAGACAAATGTCACCTTAACAAAGACCCAGAGGTTGTAACTTAGTTTGCGGACATGCAATCAATATAATTAAATTTGCAGATATACAATGAATCTACCAACCAAAAATGCTCTAAGTTTTGCTGCAACTTAAACCAAAAGCATCTCGCAGAAAGATCCTTTAAGTTTGTAAGCTTTTTAGCTTTGTTTAAAAAGAAAATTTCTGCATAACTCATTATTCATCATACAGGTGTTTTATCCAAAGGAAAATTCGTCATAATTAGTGAAGCCCTTACAATTAAACTTAAAAAGTCCAAGCTCATGCACCAGACACGGGTCTTTCAGCCCATCCAACATTGCCTAGATTCTACAACTTGGATGACAAAACGTTCACGTCTAAGAAAGAAAACTAGAATATTGCAGCTAGAAAACAGTTGATGAATAAATCTTCAATTAATTAGATAGATATGTTAGCTTTCTACAGGTGTAAATCGAAAGTTTTAAATATGTATTAATTAGGAAAAAAAAAAGATCATTCAAGAAATCTTTTTCATTGGTGAATAATAAACTCATCTGTTTGTGATATTACAAACAATAATTGAAAGCTGTCTAAAGTATCTCTAAATGAGTTTCTTTTAAACACTTCTATGCAAAATGAAATCTATCAGTATTCAGCTTTCTAGTATATCTCTTGTGTGAATTTAGAATTAACACCTTTGCAGTAGGATCACTCACCATTTGTCACGGATGGGCATTCCTCCCAACCTTATCCCAATTCCTTATCCATTTCTATCCTTATATGCGCCCTATGGTTCATTTATTAATTAAATTTGTAAGTTTCCCGGGATGAATCAAGGTTTATCTACTTGACATACCAATTTATAGGAACATGACACCTTGAAGAGTAGATAATGTTTATGTTTCAAAAAACAAAACTAAAAGGATTAAATGGCAAGAGTAAACGAAAATTTCTCTTTAACATAACAAAATAGGAGCCGATTTCAACATATTATGAAGAATATAAGCAGGAATAAACCAAAGAATTAGCCAAATGAGGATAAATATAGAATATTCAACTCTTATAGCAAACATAGATTTCAGAACTAAGTAAAAAAAAAAAAATTGGTCATGTTAAGTGTATAGGATGATGAATTGGATAGAATGATAATTATCTTATATTATGTTTGATTTGAATTTAAAGATAGTAATATGATTAAAAGGAGGATTAATCATTATCTTGATATAAGATTATTCAATTCTATCAAAGTAGAGAAATTTTTTTTAATTTATAAGATTGAATTTACGTATTCTATTATAATCTTAAAAATTATATCAATAATTTAAATTGTATAAATTTTAAAGAAAGATAATTTTGATCAACAAATAAATTATTTTATTTTAATTTTTGTACATATCAAATACAAGTTAAGATGATATTATTTAATTTAATCTGATTTATAATATTATTTTATCATATATTATCATAATCTTATGTACGAAACACATCTTTTAATTTTTGTCTTATATACACATAAGAAAGAAAAAGAATAAGAAGAAAAGAAGTATAATTTGTGAGAATTAGGAAGGAAACTAACTAGAGAAGTGGGTTTGATTGAAAAAACAAAAAAAGAGAAGAAGAAAAAAAGGAAAAATGGAACTTAGCCAGCATGGAAGGAACCGATATCACCACTTCAGAGAGAGGCAGCAAATTCATCAGCAATTGTCAAGCAAGAAGAAACCCATCATCCACTTAGAGCCATCAACACTATCTTTGCCATCCATAGAGTCATGCCCCATGGCATTGCCATTTTGTTTTCCTTTTTCTTTCCCCCTCTCTTTGGAATCAATAAGTAATCCAATTTTAAAGGAAACCCATTTTGAGCATCAATCAACCCTTTTGAAAAAAGAAATCAAGGAGATTCAACAATCTAACATGACGTGAAGTAAAAGTAAAAATCAAGACTTAGATTTTGTGTTGTGCCTACCTTTCTCATTTTAAAAAAAAATTATTTTAAATTATAATAAACCAAAATTTAGAAATTTAAATAGAGATGATATCTGTTTTTGTTAATTAAAAGTTTTACCAACATCTAAGACTTGCCATTCATACCAAATACTAGCATAAAATTATTATTTTAAAACTATATGATATTATTGCAAATTAATTACATTTTTCTTATAAATATCATATAAAAAAATTTTCTTTTCTTTTTGGTCTGGCAAATAAAGAAAATTTCAATTATATCTGAAATTTTGATATAATTAGTAATATATACTTTTCTTATTCCAAAAAAAAAAAAAAAAACTGAATTTGAATTGTTCCATCAACATATGAAAAACGATAAGTAATTTGTAAGTTGAAAAGTGAAAACCCCTCTAACTTTATCCTACCTTTCTTTATTGTATCAAATTCCCTCTTCAAGCTATCTAAAACCTTTTATTATTATTTTTTGATTTTATAAAAACAAATGAAAATTATTTTTTAATAATGGGAGCAGAAATTAAAATAAAAATGCTTTTACACTTTTCCGAAATGAAAACAGAAAATGACCACAGAACTTCTATGGTTTTTTTTTATGTTTTTTTTTTTTTTTTAATTTTTGTTCCGACGTAGGTTAGCAGCTTTAAAGACAGTGCTGCTTTTTCTACAGCAATCTTTTCAATTGGATTCACCTAATAACTCAAAAAAGATGTTGGTTATTTCTCGAGCATCAATCCCATTCAGAAATTTTGATAAATTCAGCATTCTACGAAGCTTAAATGGTCTCCAATCTGTTATTTCAGTGCAATGCAAAACTACCATACCCAGGATAGATTCTAGTGCTAATTCAAGTGTTGCTCGATCCAACTGGCTGATCACTAAGCTAAGTAAAGAGGGCAAAATGAGCCAAGTACGGAAACTGTTCGATAAATTGCCTGAAAGAGATAAAGATGTAATAACTTGGACTGCAGTCATTTCTGGGTATATCAAGCTTGGGTTAATTGAGGAAGCAAGGAAACTGTTCGATAGAGTTGATTCGAAGAAGAATGTAGTAACGTGGACGGCAATGCTAAGTGGTTATATGAGATCAAATCGAATTATGGATGCTGAGAGGTTGTTTGAGGAAATGCCGGTTAAAAATGTTGTATCTTGGAATACCATGGTTGATGGATATGTGCAAAATGGGATGGTTGATAAGGCTTTTGAAGTGTTCCATGGAATGCCTGAGAGAAATGTGGTTTCCTGGAATACGATGTTAACTGCATTGGTGCAATGTGGGAGAGTTGAGGATGCGAGGGCATTGTTTGATAAGATGCCTAAAAGGGATGTTATTTCGTGGACAGCGATGGTTGCAGGGTTGGCAAAGAATGGGAGGGTTGATGAGGCTAGGAGGGTTTTTGATAGGATGCCAGAGAGGAATGTGGTGTCATGGAACGCGATGATTACTGGGTATGCACAGAATATGAATTTGGATGAGGCTTTTGATTTGTTTGAGAGGATGCCAGAGAGGAATTTGTCTTCCTGGAATGGGATGATCACGGGGTTTATTCAGAATGGGGAGTTGAGGAGGGCTGAGAAATTGTTTGATAAGATGCCGTGTAAGAATGTGGTTTCTTGGACCACGATGATTACAGGATATGTTCAAGGTGAGCGAAGTGAGGAAGCCTTGAAGATTTTCTCGAAAATGTTGGCAGATGACAGGGTCAAGCCCAATGAGGGAACTTTTGTAAGTGTTTTGAGTGCCTGTAGTGACTTAGCTGGTCTTGGTGAGGGACAGCAGGTTCATCAGACAATAGTGAAAACAGTTTATCAGTGTAGTGAAATTGTTGTATCTGCACTTATTAACATGTATTCAAAATGTGGGGAATTGAGTATTGCTAGGAGGATGTTTGATGATGGATTAATAAGCCAGAGGGATGTTGTTTCGTGGAATGGTATGATTGCAGCTTATGCACATCATGGGTGTGGTGAGGAAGCTATCAGCTTGTTCAAAAAAATGTCTGATTTACATTTTAAAGCTAATGATGCTACGTATGTGGCTTTGCTCTCTGCATGCAGCCATTCTGGTATGGTGGAGGAGGGGCTAAGATACTTTGATGAGCTTGTGAGAGACAAGTCCATTCAGGTCAAAGAGGATCACTATGCATGCTTGGTTGACATCTGCAGTCGAGCAGGGAAGCTCAAGGAGGCCTTTGCACTCATTGTGCAGCTTGGGACTAAACCATCAGTATCTGTTTGGGAAGCTCTTCTTGCAGGATGTCATGTTCACGGGGATGTGAATTTAGGGAAGCTAGTCGCAAAAAAGATTTTAGAGGCTGAACCAGAGAATGCAGGCACTTACTTGTTGTTGTCTAACTTATATGCTTCAAAAGGAAAATGGAGGGACGCAGCTAAGGTAAGGTTGAAAATGAAGGATAAGGGATTGAAGAAGCAGCCAGGTTGCAGCTGGATAGAAGTAGAGAATAAGGTTCATGTGTTTGTTGTTGGTGCCAAATCTCATTCTCATGCCAATCTTACTTACCCATTATTGCGTGAACTTCATGCAAAAATGAGGAAGGCTGGAAGTATATCAAATATTGATTACCTGGATGATGATGATTTTCTGGCAATAAGTTTTTAATCTTCTGATGTCTGTTATGGAACAATTTAAGGGATTACTACCAGAGATGATTTTTGAGAGAAAAAGTTGATTTTGTATTCAGTGACAGTAATTGTCCTATCAAACAAAATATTTATCATCATTCCGATACAAGCAAACATGACACATCTTAGAAAGAGTGTACACTTGCTATCATTTCTTTGATCTGGGCCAGACATAGCAGGACAGTTATAGAGTTTGAGCTATTTTTTCCCCACTGCTGCTGCCTTAGCTTGTCTATTTTGCTTTTTGGAAGGAAGATTCAAGATCTCTTAATGTTTGTAGCTGAAGAGGAGATTTAAATGAAGAGGACTGATTCCAACTAAACATTGGTACATAATCCAAGTTCGTTTGAAGATTTATGCTACTATCCTTAACAACAGCACAATGACCATGGCTATAGCAACAAGAGCAGCAATCAAAGTAATTCCCATGATGCTTATTAACTTTGATTTTGAAAAAAAAAGAAATATTTTAAAGGAGCTCCAGATGACATTTAAAAGATGGCACTATCTTGCACGGCCAAAGGTCCTTATCATTCTCCTTTACTGACAATCAGCCTTAGATATTTCAGTTGAATATAGATGAGCTTTAGATGTAAAATCACCATTCTGCTATCAGTAGTGTGAAAATGCTTGATCATGTTTAGCTAGATAATCAGATTGCTTGAGCTTTCTACCCAAAAAATTGCTTGCATCTTGCAGGATTGGGTTGATCGGAAAGCATGAGAGATTTTAAAATTCATGTCCCTGTCTGATCTTAGGATGAGCAGTTGCCTGATACTAACTCATCTCACAGTTAGAAGGTGGTGGTTAATTTCAGTCCATGTTCCATTTTTTATGATAATATTAACTAATGAAATCATATGTGAAATCCTGTTGGACTTTAAGCTTGGCTTTGATTCTTTCCTGTCTATTGAGGAGTTATTTATTAACTTGAATGGAGACTTAGATCCTGAACATTCTGCTATTTATTTTTGTTATTCATGTAGTAATGTTTTGCCATACTTCCCATCCAATTAAAATACACGTTTAAATCTTCTCTAGCTGTCTGTTAAGCTGAAGTAGTAATCTTCATTTGCAGGTCTGCTTCTTTGCAATGTCTATGCGTTTTCTTCTCCTAACCACTGCAAGTGCTCGCTGCTTCGGGGTAAGAAGGATTATAAGTAATGGAAGAAATTTCGTCAAATTTCTGTCAATTATCATGTCAAAAGGTTGACAAAATCAAGTATCCTTTTGAGGAATTGATGCATTGTTGCCTTCTGTTTGCTCTTTCCATTGTCTAAGGTAGGACCGAACAGAACACTCTTCTTAAAATCATATTTGTTTCTTGGTGCAAAACATCATATTTCTGTTGGTGCACTTTGTATGCGATGTAGAGAACGAATCCAGGACCAGAATTTGAAATGTAAGAGAATTAGGGATTCAAGAGATTGGGAGTGATATGGATCACAACTCGATACAAGGACTGGTCTCCCAGTTACTTAAGCCAATGAACTGGCCCTAGCTGTCCTGATTTCAGGTCATTTTTTGGTCAAGTTCATTCAGAGTTCGAGTCATCTTTTCATCATGTCAGTTTTGGATCGTGTCAAATCTTGATCATTTCAGGTTTGGGTTATTTCAAATTCGAGTTCTTTCTAAATCCTAGTTATTTTGGGTAAATGATAAGATGTCTTCTGTAATTTGGATGGTTAACAGAGTTGTATTTAAAATAGAAAAATATAGACTGGATTATTGCAGGGAATAGTATGAGCTTTGATTTTTCTTACATTTCATATGTAAATTTTTGAATCAAATTCTTCGATAAAAATAAGACTTATGATTTTATTACTTATAATCGATTCTCATTTTCCATTTAAATTATGTGGCAACTCCTAAAATCAAATCTACACTCAAACGAAAGTAATAAGAATGAAACTAAGTCCGCTCAGGATATAGTACAATGTTAAATTTGCCCCCATCTCTAAATGTTACTACTATTACTATAAACAAGTTTGGCAACATAAGGCCTACTTAAGACAGCTTTTTTTTTTTGGTGGAAAACAGAAGACAGCTTCATTGAGTAAGCTCCCCCGCTCTGTTTCATTTTCCTCATTGTCACTGTTTAGCATTGCTTGATGGATTTCTTGCCACATTAATTAAGCAAAGGTGGTTGAAATCTTCCAACTCGGATCATGATTTTCGTTTAAAAGCAATGTCTTGTTGGACCTTCCAATTAATAAAATGTACATGATTAACTAAAAGTTGATTAACAAACTCATTCCAACTTCAACAAAATTACAAATCGATGATTGTATCATTCATGATCCTTTTTGCTTGTAATGGAGGTGGATTTGACCATGTGCATATTTGTGTTATATTTGTTTTTGTCAAATATGAATAGAATATAATCATTATTATATCATAATTCATATTGATATGTCTAATTTTAAATAAATTTTTTATTTTTATCAAATTGATATATAATTTTTATTAAATTTAAATTATGTTATTTTTAAATTATTTATATATTTTATATCATCACGCCTAAAATTATTATATTTACTTAAATACCTCTACACTTTATAAGCAAAACTAAAATTTCAAAAAGTTGAAACATTTAATCTGATTTATCGGTTTAGTAGAGGCTTAAGAAAAATGGATTCGTCTATCACAGGTTTTAGGATTTCAACCTATAATACATATTTTTAATTATTTAGGAAATGAAAAATCCAATCCTACTCTTAAACAAAACGATACACAGTACTGATTGAGTCAAATATTTGAATTTAATTGTTTATACAATGTATTTGAACAAATTTGTTAAAAAAAAAAGTTAGCTTATTATGCATACGTTTATATAAAAATCTTATATAAAAATAATATAAAAATTGAAAATCATCTTTATATATAAAAAAAAAAAATGAAAAGCATCTAATAGTAATATAAAATTTAATTCAATTAATTTATATCATTAATATTAAAAAAAAATTATTTAATAACAAACTTTAAAGCCACCTTTTTGTTGTGCTTCCGATCTGCTTTGCTATCACCATCTCCCACTCCCAACTCTCTTGACTTGACAGCTCTTCCCCATGGCCACCAGCACCATTCTCTCTCTTTCTCTGCCTTGAATTGAACTTGAAAAAAACAAAAAAGATAAACAAAAAAAGCCTTCTGTTTAAGCCACAAACTCCAGCCCCTTGATCAAAAAAGGCTGATTAACAGAGAAAAGGCAAAAGAACAGTCTGGAGGGACGGATAAGTAAAAGATTCTTCATTCATGGGCTGTTCTGCTTCAAGACCCAAAACTACTCTTTTCACCAAAACCCATAATTCTCCAGAAGATCCATATTCTTCTTCTTCTATAGAATCCATGGTTTCTTCGCTACCACCAATTCCAAGAGCTCTTTTACTCCCAACTCCTCTTGTTAACCACCCACCACTGAGGAAAGGCGATGCACGTCACCTTGTCTCTTTAACATCTGCTACCTATGTTTCTCTCGTACTCATTGACACCAAAACGCCTAAAATGAACAGCCGGGATTTCTCTGGTCATCAACTAAATCAAACGCCACTACAGATGGACTCATCAATTCATGCAGACCTAGATGAGTCACTGTCTCCAGATTCTGTAATCAACACTTGGGGGCTCATCGATGGGCTTGATGATGACTGTGATTTTAATTTGGGTAAGCCTAGTTCTTTTGTTAATACTCGTAACAAGGAGCTTTCATGGAAATCTAACACTTCTAACTGTAAGGGTCTAGATGTGCCTGTAAAGAAATATGATGATTATAAGCCTACTAAGCCATAATTGACAAAGCCATTAGGAAACATTTATCTAAAGAATCATTGCTATCAAAACTTGACCCAAATGTGGTGTCAAGTTACAGACGAGCCTTACTCCTTCATGTTATTCATTATCTGATAGTTGGTTCAGAGTGCCAAGCACTGAAAACAGAATTGTATTATATTTTACAAGTTTAAGAGGAATAAGAAAAACTTATGAGGATTGTTGTTGTGTTAGAATGATATTTAGAGGATTTAGAGTGCCCGAATGGACTCTATGTATAGAAACGAGTTGCAAAGTCAACTTGGACGGAAAGTTATTTGTTTACCACAAGTGTTCATCAGGGGAAAGCATATTGGTGGTGTAGAAGAGATTAAACAGCTTAATGAAAGTGGAGAATTGGCAAAGCTTTTGGAGGGGCTTCCAGTTAGAAACCCTAGAATCGTTTGTGAAGGTTGTGGGGATGCAAGATTTGTACCTTGTCCGAACTGTAATTGAAGCAGAAAGGTGTTTGAGGAAGATGAAGCGATGTTGAGAAGGTGCCCAGACTGCAAAGAGAACGGACTTATAAGTTGCCCTGGTTCTTGCTCATGAAAACTAATTAGCCGATGCTAATTGGTAGATGCATACTTTTTATGCTTGATTAATTGCTTGAATTGCTATTTGTAGTAGGCTTGTTGTATGCTACTAGTTTCTTTGTGTTCTATGTATACCATCCTGCAGATTGTTCTTATTGTTCATTGTCCTCCTAGATGTATGAAATAAAAAAGTGTCAGTTTTGATGTTCAAGATCCAATTGTTGTATGTTCAAACAATTGGGTCTTGAGCATCAAAACTGTCACTTTTTGATGTGGCATGTTCAAAACATCAATTATAAATATTATCACCCTCAATTCTTCTGTGTGTGTGTGTGTGTGTGTGTCTTTTGTATGTTTGTTTTGAGAAGGTAATACACCACCTACTTGATTTAGTTGCAATTTCTCCCCAGTTTCAAATGGTTCTTTTTGGTGCAATGATTTTTTTTAGTGAATCTTGATTCAACCAGGTCTAAACCTGGTATTAGTTCTATTAACAGGTTTAAACTTGGGAAAAATCAATTTGACACATAGCATCATATGAAAATTAGCATTGCTGATGATGAATAAACCTCATTAGTTCTTGCCAGGGGATGCTGGTTTCCTGTAAAAAGCATGTAATGCTGTTTGGCCAAATATATTACTTGGGCAATGCAACAGTGGGCGTGGGGTGTGGATTCTATTATTGATCCATTCTCTTCACATTTCAATTCCAAACGCTAAAAAACAATCGTACGACGTTACTACACTAAACATGTTTGTTTTGGCTTGTTGAATGATGCTGTCCAGCCAAAACATTTGTCTTTAATACTATCTACAGTACACATGGGCAGTAGGGCAGACAGATGTCAATGACCGAAAATGCAGCAAAAGGTTACTGATCAAGGGAGCTTATAAAATCGAAACAGTGGACAGTCTGGTGCGTCCTTATGGAGATGGTTGCATAATCAATGTTGTAAATCCACAATCACAACAAAAATAATCGTGCATGTGCACTGCAGTGAAATGAAATTAATTAGTCAATATTATGTTCTTATTAATTCTTCTGTTCTTTTAGTTGGACTTAAGAGTACTTAAAAGATTTAGGCGTCTACATCTCATGTAAAAGGTTCATGAACATGGCAATATTTTAACTGGCATGTGTATGACATGTTGAAAAACTCCAATGACAATACTAATCCTAAATACTTAATGAGTTAGTATAA